TAAAAACTGGTGATCTTAAATTAGGCAATACCAGCGCTGGCCGCGCCCGAACACAGGTCAAGAAAGGAATGGGAAGGATTGTGTTGACATGACACTCGCTTTGATGGAAGCCGAGAACACCTCTGCACTTCCACGAGGAATCACTGGGATGTTGGATAAGAGGATTGGATTTGCAGCAGGGTTCGTTTTGGTAAACGATAAGCTGAATTGATGTCCTAACGATCATATAACGCGAAGGAGCTTGGGACTAAAGCCACGGTCTTCTGCTCAGTAAGCAAAAACGTTTGCCACTAGGCAGACGAGCACCTTTTTAATCACCGAGTTGCTGTTATTACCATGTAGTCATATTAACAACTAAAACGATTGACGAATCTTGAATGTGGATGGGCCTGAGATTAGACACATGATGTTCTGCTCAGTAAGCAAAAACGGTTGCTCAAAGGCCACCGAGCACCTCATATCACATAAAAACGTTGCTCAAATTTGTGTATCCATTCAAACCAGGAACCAACGACAACAACGAGTTTCGCAAAATACACGATACACAAGCGATTTTACCATTAATCTCTTTGATATGTAAGGACCTGGGACCGCGTTTTTCTGCTCAGTAAGCAGGCCACTGTAACCGACGATCTTTCAAATCCGAAAACTAAAAACTACGAAAAAGTACTTGGGCCTTCATTAAGTTCCACTTTCACGCGACGTTCAATGACAGGGTCCTATCCAGGATTACATCTGAAAAATCCAAATCTGGCCAACGCCCACCCTAAACCTAAACCTGTTCTAATCCACCTGAAATGACTAACGAATGGAAGACTTTGACTACCCAGCCATGCAATAGTCTCATTCCGTGCCTTATGGCAACCTGATGATTCTATTGCGCTCATCTTCTGGCACCACTCAGGGGAGACTTGGTCCTGTACCCAATGCTTAACTTATCTCCATTCCACTCAGCTACTCGCAATTTCTTGTGATATAGTGGGCGGAATATTATTATATGAGACAATTCAATGCGTCGTCTTTCCAAATTTGGCAGATCGACAGGTAATCGGTGAGTTACCACGATAGTTGCTATTCAACAACTCGACAACGTCCCATCGTCAACGTCTGCTATGAGAATTTCCCATTGCAGACGCCAACGAAATGACGTCATCGAGCTATCGACCAACTACCCTGGTTATCGCCTGTTACCTTATAGCACGATGCTAGGAGGCGAACCGGAAGAATCGATGAGCTACCTCTCCCCCTCAACCAAATTGAAAAAAAGATAAAATAGCAAACCGATATAGTGGTTCTCAGAATTTCGATAAAATTTGAAGTTTTGTTCCGTATCGCAAAGTATAAAACCCGTATTTTTTATCATTAGGGTGACCATTTCCATGTAAGGATGGTTAAAAAAATTCGATAATTTCAAAAGTGAGTTTTTTTTCATAAATGATTATTTTTAACAATGACTTTTTTCAAAAATGATTTTTTTTTTCAAAAAAACGTAACTTTTGAACCACTTAGCCGATTTACAAAATCAAAATATCAAATGAAAGGTTACTAAAAAATATTTTTAAAATATTATAATGATGTCTAAAAGTTGGGGTATTTGTATTGTAGACAGAGGGCGCAATTGGTTTTATATTTTTCCTTGAAAATTTAGACTCTTTTACGCTTCTGCAATGTGTGTTTTTCTTTATTGAGTTATACTTTGTTGAAGTCATCAAGTTTTAGGTTTTTGCTCAATACTCCTATGCGACTAGACTACCATGCGAAATTTTTTTGAACTAGGCTACCATTTTTGAAAAACAATCGAAAAAAACCTATTTTCTGGGTTACCCTACCATGGAAATTTTCAATATTTTGCGATAAGGAACAAATTGACCTAGAATGTTTAATTTTTTTCAATAGTTCAACAATGAATTGATTTTGAAACGTTTTGAGCTGTTCAGGATCTTAAAAATTTGTCCAAATCAGAGATCTCAAATTTTTATCGGAGTGCCGAACTATGAAAATTGTAATTCTTTAGGTCTTAGAATGTTGAAGGTAAATTCTATGGCAAGGATGTTCCTCATTTTTGTAAGTCCAAGACCTGCAACTTTTTCAAAGTTTGGGATTTTAAAAACTTTTCTGTTCGTTTTTTATATACTTTGGGGTCCCAGAATTCTGAAATTTTTGTAAAGTTTGAGATCCTATCTTTTTCTCCTGGGTTCTTGCAATTGTTTCTTTAGCCAGGATAAGCAAAAGAAGTCATGAGGCTTGAGAATCTTAAAGATTTGGTATAGTTCATGACATCCAGGATCTTGAAAAAGAAATCCTTAGCCAAAAAAGTTGAAAAATATTAATGATTTTAGAACATTTTTGATTTACAAATTTTAGAAGCTTGAAAATGTTTCGAAGCCCAAAGTTCGAAAAAATTTCCATCCTCTAGATCACAACAATATTCTGTTGTCGTGAAATCTTGATTTTTATGTGTACTGGTTTGTTTAAAAATATTTGTTTTAAATATACATTTTTTTTCTTATCATAAAATCCCAGAGTCTTCAGAAATTTTAGTGTTTATTTCTTTAAGGAGTAAGATTTCAAAAATTCAGTTTAATTATTTTTCATCAAATCTAGTTGTTGGAGATAGCCAGTTGCATACCGGTCTTGAAGCGAGTAAAGTTGCAACAGGACAGCTGATCGGGCGTAACGCTACGTTTGACAGGACAATTGACATCATGGATGACAAAACAGTTGACAGGACAGATTTTGGTCTAAGATTTTGTGACAAGCAATGCATTAGGTGTAGGAAAAACGTCATGATATGGGGGAGGGGGTATTTTTTGGTCGATTAAGCGTGACATAATTAATGCATGGTGTGATAAGAGAACAGATAACAAATAGAACAAACGGAAATTACCGAAGACAGATTAAAACCTATTACTAATTTTCTTTCGGAAATGAAATGTGTTTGCTAGTGCTAAAATATATCGAATTCTTAATCGTAAGTTTGCATGAATTAAAATACTAGCATCCATTAAATTAAAATTTATATAATGTTAATCATTGTTGTTGACACAATCCAATTTTTGTTTTCAAAATTTCAACCGTGAATTTCCGACGATGTTCTGCCATGGATTTCTCACAGCGCACATATTTTCAAAACATTAACGGATGTCAAGGCGATGACCGTTGCCAAGTACAAATGTAATCTGGGGGTGATACTGGAATTCATCCGAATGGTGCTGGAGTCGCTACCGGAAGAATTCGAGATCGGAGAATCTCCACTCAAGACAATCGAACTGTTCAAGGATCTGGTGCGGAAGGCTCTGGGAAGGGGGTGGCATCGTTCCGGAAGCTGATTAAAGAGATGACCATGAAGGGACTGCTACTGGTCATTATGACGATTCGGAATGTGATTAATGAGTCGATTTGTGGGAAGAATGATAACCTGAAGAAGGTTCCGTTGAAGACGTTAGTAGATCAATTTGGGGCGGGAGATTTGTGACGGAGCTGAAATCACAGTTGAAGGAGGTTAAGTGGAATTGTAAGATGTTGATTGGTCAGTTGTTGGGTTAGAAGGTGAGCTCCTGAAAGTCGACATCGACACATCGGTGAGTTGGTTGAAGGATAGGTTTAGCTCTCGGTCACGACTCTGGTAACCCAGCGCTTGAAATAGAATATTTATAGGTGTGGCGGAGAAGAAGCCCCGGCGATGTGTAAAGTGACCGGTGTTTTCCATGGTGCCCAGCGATTTGAGCAGTTCGGAAGCATTTCAACATCGTGATGTTTGAAATGATCCTCGTAGAACTGATCCAAATGTAGGTAGGTAATTGGTTTATAGGTACCAATTGATTATGGAATCCGAGCCGCACAGAAGCATCGTAAGAGGATCGGTGTCCATACAAAGGCCACCATCTGGCCGCAGTAGTTTTATCAGTGCTCGTTTACCATGTTTGATTCCGTAACGTTCCTCATCGTAACTGACATCGATGAATTCGCCTTTGATGATCACTCAGACCATATTTGGAGGTAGAATCTTCACCGGTGTTAGCTTTCCAACCATCGACAGCGCTCAAACTTTTACAGGCGTTCTCTAGCCGGCACTGCTTTTCGCCAGAAACATCATGCTTCTCTCCATTTGTCCGATTGTTGGACTGTCTGACCGTGTGGACATATTAAACCCCACCTCCACCAGGGAAGTCTGATTCCGGTTAAAACTCGCACTAGAACGCTGACGACGCATCTTTGACTCAGTCGATGGCTTTCGGGAGAAACTCCTGCCGTTCATCAGACTCTGAAGAGCATCTGAATCAGTTTCCTCTGATGATGCACGCTCGCTTCGTCTACTTACCACCGTCACCTTTGGTTCATCCGAGTCCTCATCATACTTCAATCCAGTAGAAGTTATTGTCCTGTCGGAAATTGGAAGTGCCTCCCCCGGAGAACGTTTATGCTCGAAGCCTCGATTCGGTTGCCGAGGCCGTTGATTATTTGGTTCAGTGTAGTCCTTTTCCGAGAGAATTTGGGAGCAACGAACCGAGAGTCACAACTGTCAAATTAATCTGGTTGCCAAACATACCATTATATAAACAAAAAAAATCAGTCTAATGACACTCTCGTCACTGCCGGCACAGCTGCGGCACACGTGAGGCACACTGAGAAAAAAAATTGGTGCATAATAAGTGTGTAGAGTGACCACCCCTTGACAACACATTAAAAACAATTTATTGACACAGTGAACTTCAACACGTGAAGTGGATGAACATTTGTAAGTTTATACATTAAGTTTGTTGAAATTAATCTAATCACTTACTTAACTAACACTTACTTAACGGAAGATCCGAAAATTCACTTCGATTCACATTGCCATCAGCAACACTGTTTATTTTTATCAAACCGGGAAAACTATCATGGGCATGCGACAATTCATCTGAGGGTCGATAGTCAAATGTTATCCTTTTGAACATTATTAAATTCACTTAAAATAATCACGTCACCAACTAGCTTTTCATTTATTCTCTCAATTTCAGAGGCAAAAACGATTGGCTCCCGCAATGAGGAGCTTACGATGGGCTCCAGGTGAGCTGAGATGGGACTTTCTACGGATATACCTCGTGCTGGTGGTGTTTTCGGTAAGTGCCTAGGTTTACGCTAGATCCACAGAATGTTTTTCATTCGTGGGTTCTTCAGATATTAATTGGGGCACCCTGAAAAAGCTCTCACTAGAAACCCCAATTCACGAGCTACACCGACAAAGCGAGACACTTCACATTCGAATTGACTCTAATTACCATTCAAAACCCATCCATTATTTTTGGTCCAAAGTAACAAGTACTGCGAACAAAACCGCCATCAATAAACAAAACCGCACGCAACCAAACTGTCAACCCACAGGGCAGCGGGCGGTCGTAAATAATGGGAAATTCTTGTTTCTCTCGCCAAGTACACCGACAAACAATCGTCGAAAGTCCATGGCAACGGAAAAAAAATGGTCGACATTGGAGGAATTTTTTTTTCGACTGCTTTTGTGGAGGAAGTAAAAATCTCACAAAACGAACCAATTTGCATTTCTCTGACAAACGAAAACACCTGTTTGCGACACAAGAAACGACAGCGAGCAATGATTTATGATTCGGTTTGCAACCGTTCGGTGTGGTCCCCGGAGCAGATAATAACAGTGCGATTTAATATGCCACTAATTTACAGCGTTAATGTCGTTATCAATTATTGCTTCTTTTTTTTTTATTTTGCCATCATTCAAGGGGGCCCAACCAGGACGCAGCCAGTTTCACTTGTGTCGAAAAGCTGCAACCATCGAGCAATCAAAACTAGATAAATGGCGGTTGTCAATTTGTCTCCATCTGCGGATGGACAAACATTGCGAGATTGATCGCTTCATAAGAAATCGGACGGGACTGATATAGAGGAAAAAGAGAAATTATGCATGTCTCTTAATCATGTGTATAAACTTTCGCAACAATAACATACCACAGCGTGATGACCGCGTGGCGTGGCGGTGGAAGCAATCTGCATGATACTCTCTCGAACTCGAACATGTGTGTAATTATTGTATTTATTACTGACCTGGACCTGGGAGCCCGGGACCTGACAGCAACGGTGGCGAGATACCATCGACATTCCACCAGTCAATGCCAACTTTGATTGTCACTTGCACTTTTTTTGTTTTCGTCGTCGTCTCCGTCGTAGTCGGCCGGGGGGTCATCGACTTGGGTGAATCATTCGCCGAGCGCCTACTTTGACGAGATTAAAATATTTGCGAAATGACAACATTCGCTATGCTGCCCGTGCACTTATCGGTACATTGTTTGCGTCCGAATTGCACATCAAGTTTAAGAGATGTTTAAGCATGTGCGAGAAATGGTTTCTTTGATACAACCTGTGAGAAACGTTGAACACGTCCGCACTCCCCGGAGACAAACCACTTTGTCCATTGTTTTCCTCAAGTGTAGAAACTTCCCATGCAACACGCGCACTGCTTTGGATCATCTTGTCTACAAGGCACCATGGGGGAAGAAAGCCGTGTCCATCAGAGGTTGAAGAAGCGCAGTGTTAAATATTGATATACTTGGAGGAGGCATTAGAAAGCATAAGTGACCTAACCTCATTTCCAGAACAGAAATGAACAAAACCCGGCAAACGAAATTAGCACCACACATGCCTGCACATATTAAGTAAGTCGTTTCGTTCCAATCCGTCCGGCCCGACCTACACGGTCAACGGACCGCGCTCGATGACGGCGCAATCTGGTTCACCTACGGGGAGTGAGGTTATGTGTGCACACAACACCGTCTGCATAGCAAAACGCCTTCTGCCATCACACGACGATGATCTGTGTGGACCTGTGTGGACATAAGCACCTTGGAAGACGAACACTTCCTGCAATCAAATTGCCAGGTTGAGTGAGCGCAGTCTGTGCAGAGCACTTTTATGATCAGAGTAGATCGAAACGACCTAGCGGTACCTGGCGGGAGTTGGAGTTTGGTTGGAACTGAAGTAGCTTCATTTTCGAGTGCGGATTTTGCAAATAACGAATTAGTTGAGGTTGCCTGCGTCACTAATTAGTATGTATTTGGATTATTGCTCTGACACTTGACGGAACCACCTGCGTGCGTTGATGGGATGATGGGAAAGTGAGCTGGATTTCTGAACCGTGTCGGAAACGTGGCTGCGGTATTCAATTGGGTGTCTTTTGGGATCCGTGGTTTTTGATATACGATTCACGGCTTGAAGAACCGAGCAGTTTATGATACCGAGCTCAGATCGATAAACGCTCGATAAGATCATGAACTCTTAACGATAGGTTCATGGTAAGTCCTGTGATCCTCTGAGAATGTTCCGGAGATTTGGAAATATGTGAAGGACGATCTGGAGGAAAAGTTCACTTCAGTGAACCTCAAGTTATAGAAGTCATCGGGCCTGACCGAAGAACACAGTTTAAATTTAATAACTAAAGCATGTCCCACTTTGTAATGGAACAACCATCATTTGGGTCTATTTCGGATTCGAATTAGCGGATTTGAAAACGGTTTTCACTCAAGTGCCCTATTCCTTATATTTTAAGAAAAGAAAAAAAAAACGAAACGAATTATTCGTCGTGGATTTGAAGGAATTCTGGAACTTTTCCCTTTAAACGACCCATCAAGCGGTGGGTGCTCAATGGTCTCGTCCACTGTTTTGGCGATTAAATACCACCAATTTTTCATCTGAGCTGCCATTTTGATGACCTTTAACCTTTAGTTTCCTCCTCATAATTGCCCAGGGACAATTGGGCGGATTGAGGGTTTTCGGAACAACTAGTCAGGGCAGAATTAGCTTCTGGAGACGTTCGGTTTTGTAAACGTCCGAGTTCACCATTTTCTCAGTGACGAAAACCGTTGTCTTCTGACAGCAGCTGCAAATTCCCTGCCAGATCATAAGTTTGCGAGTGAATTTATTCGCAAAACAAATTTGAATCTGCCAGGGAGCAGGCTCTGCCTTTGAACAAGTTTGACGTGCATTTTCTTTGCTGTGATTTTTTTTTGGAGAAACTATTTCGGCATATTTTTAAAACAGTAAAAAACCAATCTGATATAGTGATTTCCAAAGTTATTCAAGTTTGGAGCTGTCTTTCCGTGACTCTCAACAAAACCCGTGTCATGAAGTTTTTTCAGAGCTTCAGAGGGCAGCAGCTCCGAAAACAAACTCCTCCAGTGAACCCCCGACGTTCTTTCGTTTGCGACGACGTCACGGAGAAGCGAACCACAAGGGCTGATTCTGGGGACTCTTTTAGTGATATTTCATATTAGCTGAACCTGATCTGGATGCTCAAAATGCGTAAATTACAAAAAGATGACAGATACAGGACTACAGGAAATTCTCCCTGAAGAAAAGGGATCACCAGGAATCAGGATGTATTCAAGGAGAGACAACATTTTAATTCTGTTGAATAGTACCAGGTGGATATCATCGTGATTCAAGCAAGAAAGGTGGACCATGAAAGTACCAGTAGCGCCATGCAATTTCATTCTGCTGACATTGCGAATGGATTCATTTGGTGAGTTCGTTCCTACTTATTAACACTTGTGATTATGATGGTTAACAGTGTTGGTCACATACAACTGCAGAATCTGGTGAGAGCTTACCATTTATTTAATTTAAATATTTGTACAGTAGTCGTTTGATTTAGGCACGGTTCGATTTTAGCAAAATCACAAAACCGTTCGCTTTTGGCACGAAGTTTAATTTTGGCAACGTGCCAAGATCAGTCTTGTAAGCGGTCACGGTAGTCGACACATTTTCTGTGATGATTGACTGCCTTTGCCTCCGACACTTGCAAAACAAGCTATCATAGTACAGTTCCAAACTAAAATGTCGTATGACAGGCTCTGTCATACGACACCGTCGCCGAAGACCGTCACGAATGTATGTATTTTAGTTTTTCTCATAATAAGAGCTGTTGATGGTGTGCTTGTGTGAATTCTGAAAATAGCAAGCAATGATGTCCTAGTAATAATATTTCTGATCAGAAATGGTTTGATTTACACCAAATTGAGGAATTAAAACGAAATCACACATGTCATATGATAGCTATTTTGATAATTTTCTTTTAGCTCGAATGTTATTCTACCGCTCGTGTTGTGTGAGAGAGACGACGGTAGAGCATGAGTGTTCGAATACAAACAGACTGTCGCGCACGACAACGGAGCGAGTGTAGTAAAAAACGTCAACTGTTTCAACCCCTGGCCAAGATTGAACGATAGTGTGTTTTTGCTCCTTGTGATTACAACTTTTAATAAAAGATTTATTAATAGTAACGTCTATGTCATGGCGATGTCTCGCAGTGGTCCGAAGTCAACCAAATCATAAATTGAATTTCAAAATATGACCGTTCGATTTTGTTGATTCCTCGTGGAAGTGCGGAGGATTTCTCGGCTTCCATCAAAGCGAGTGTCACGTCAACACATTTCTACCCATTCCTTTCTTGGCCTGCGTTAGGGCGCGGCCGGCGCTGGCACTGCCTAGTTTGAGATGACCAGTTTTTAAAACATTGAGGATGCTTGCTAGTCCCAAGCATCAGAATTTTCCAGTAATCAAAGGAACACATTTTAGTACTTGTTTTATGACTTGATAATAGTGACAAGACTCGGGTTGTGACCACCGCGCCGTTATGCATTGCTATATTGTATATTTCAAATCAAAAATATTGTTTATGTTCATAGATTTCACATAATCCTTTTCCCTTTATCCTTCTTCTTTTCCTTTCCCTCTTCTAGCGAGTAATGGTGCTATAGCCATAAGTCATAAAAGGCTAGGACAAGAGTTAGTGCTCATGTCCCAACCGTCAGAAGAAAATAGAGCATCACTTAACCTTTCTAGCTCTGATGCTTCCAACGACCAACCAATCATATAATTACCAAAAACTGGAACGTACGGTACGAGATGTCCACGTTTCATCCTTTTATTGGATTCTGAAGCATCGTGTTTTAATCTTCGATTTAAACAGGCCCGATGTTTTCTGAATCATCTTGCCCCTTAAATGCTGCACAGTAGGCCTGGCCCTTTTTGATATGTGTGACGCATCTTCGATGTGAAACAACTATCAAATAGACAAAAAAAAATGATGTAGGCAAAT